CTAGTCAGGAGGCTGAGGCAGGAGAATTGCTTGAACCCAGGAGGCAGAGGTTGCAGTGAGCTGAGATTGTGCCACTGCACTCCAGCCTGGGCAACAGAGGGAGACTCTGTCTCAAAAAAAAAAAAATATTAGGCATTCAAAATTATAGGCAATCTCTATGACTCCCAATTCCCTCTCCAAAGGTAACCCTGGTTTTTGGATTAGGATGGATTAGGAAATATTCAGTCTAGGTTATGGCCTTCATCTTTAGTCATTTTTATTCCTAAATAATATTCTGTATACATACACATTTTGTTCATTCATCGGTTAACGGCAATTTTGGTTGTTTCTTCTTTTTGATTAATAATACTGCTATGCACATGTAGGTATAAGTTTTTAGTGGACATAGATTTTCAGTTATTGTAGAACTATGAAAGAAACTGCTGGATCATATGGTAACTGTGGAGCCGTCAAGCTGTTTTGCAAAGCAGCTGCACCATTTGATAATCCCACCAGCATTGTTGGGTTTTGTTTTGTTTGAGACAAGGTCTCATTCCGTCACCCAGGCTGGAGTGTGGGGTTGCAATTTTGGCTCACTGCAACCTCCACCTTCCAGGTTCAAGTGAGTCTCCTGCCTCAGCCTCCTAGTAGCTGGGACTACAGGCATGCGCCACCATGCCTGGCTAATTTTTGTATTTTTAGTAAAGATGGGTTTTCACCACATTGACCAGGCTGCTCTCGAACTCCGGGCCTCAAGGATCTGCCCGCTTTAGCCTTCCAAAGTGCTGGGATTACAGGTGTGAGCCACTGTGCCCGACCTCAACAATGTTATGAAGGTTCCATTTCCTGTACACCTCTGCTAACTCTTGTTATTGTCTTTAAAAAGTTACTGTCATCCGAGTGGGTGTGACGTGGTATCTCACTGCGGTTTTGATTTGCATTTCTCGGACGAGTAACGGTGCTGGACGTCCATTTCATCTGCTGTTGGTCATTTGTATGTCTTTGGAGAAATTTCTATTCATATATTTTGACTATTTAAATAATTGGATTGTCTTTTTTGTTGAGTTGTAAGAATTCTTTATATATTCATATATTCTGAATACTAAATCCTTATCAGATATATGATTTACAAATACCTCCTCCCATTTTTGGGTTTTTACTTTCGTTTTTTTTTTTTTTTTTCCTTGAGACAGTCTTGCTCTGTTGCCTAGGCTGGATTGCAGTGGTGACTGTAGTTCACTGCACTCTCAAACCCCTGGCTCAGCCCCTCCCACCTCAGCCTCTCAAGTGGCTACTACAGGTGCACGCCACCATGCCACCATACTCGGCTAACTTTCTGTAGATTTTTTTTTTTCCTGATGATGGAGTCTCGCTCTGTCACCAGGCTGGAGTGCAGTGGTGTGATCTCGGCTCACTGCAACCTCTGCCTCCCGGGTTAAAGCGATTTTCCCGCCTCGGCCTCCTGAGTAGCTGCGACTACAAGCGTGCCACCACGCTCAGCTAATTTTTTTATTTTTAGTAGAGATGGGGTTTTGCCATGGTGGCCAGGATGGTCTCAATCCCTTGACCTTGTGATCCACCTGCCTTGGCCTCCCAAAGTGCTGGCATTACAGGTGTGAGCCACCGTGCCTGGCCATTTTTTGTAGTTTTTGTAGAGATTGGTTCTCTCTATGTTGCCCAGGCTAGTCTTAAACTCCTGAGCTCAAGCAATCCTCCTGTCTTGGCCTCCCAAAGTGTTGGGATTACAGGCATGAGCCACTGCACCTGGCTTTCACTTTCATTCTTGAAGGATATTTGTGCTGGATATAGAATTCTGGGTTGACACATTTATATTTTTAGAGGTGTCATTCCATTGTCCTCTAGCCTCCATGATTTCTGATGAGAATTTTCCTGAAATTCATGTAAAGGTATTGTTGCACTATGCAGTGTGTCATTTTTTTTTCTTGTTCATTTCCAGACTTTCTATATTTAGTTTTCAGACTGTGAAGTCCCTGGGTGTGATAGTCCTTTATTTATTTTGCTTGGGATTGACATGTTTCTTGACTCTTTCCCCAAATTTGGCCATTATTTAAAAAGGCTTTCTGCCTCATTTTTTCTCTTCCCTCATTCCGCGACTCCAACTATATAGACGTTAGACTGCTTGACACTGTTCACAGATAACTGAGGCTCTGATCATTTTTTCTGTATCTTTCGTTTTTCAGATTGCATATTTCAGGGTTTGGGAAACTATGGCCACAGGTGGAATCTGTTTGTTCTCATTTACAGTGGCTGCTTGCTTTCAGACTATAATGGCAGAAATGAGTAGTTATAAAGATGGTTTTGGTACCACAGAGCTGAAAATATTATCTGACCCTTCATAGAAGAGGTCTACTAATGCGGGCTCTGTTGCAAGTTGAGTGATTCTTTAATCTGTCAATGTGCTGTTAATCCTGCGTAGTGAATTTGCTTCATATGTTCTTAAGTTTTAGAATTCTTATTCGGTTCTTTTTGTCAGATTTCTCTGCTGAGAATTCCTATTTGCTCATTATGAGCACATTTTCCTTTATATTCTGGAGGCTGGTTATAATTAAACATCCTGAATGTTAATTCCAACGCATCAGTCATATCAGAGTTAGTTTCTCTCAGTTGCTTCTTGGGTATGGATCACATATTCTTGTTCATATGTATAGTAGTTTTGAATTATATAATTGTAGAAATTCTGGTGAAGTTTTTTTTTTTTTTTTTTTTTTTTTTTTTTTTTAAAGCAGGCATTTAACGGCTGGACTCAATATTTAAAACTTTGATTCCAGCCAGGTACACTGGCTCATGCCTGAAATCCTAGCACTTTGGTATGCCAAGGCGAGAGGATTGCTTGAGGCCAGGAGTTTCAAGCCAGCCTGGGCAGCATAGCAAGACCCCACCTCTACAAATAAAAACCTCCCAAGTAGTTGGTGGTCTGTGCCTGTATTCCCAGCTATTAACATTGGGAGGCCGAGTTGAGAGGGTTGCTTGCACTTAGGAGGTCAAGGCTGCAGTGAGCTATGATTGTGCCACCACACTGCAGCGTGGGTGACAGAGACAGGCCTTGTCTCAAGTTTAAGAAAAATGAAGGCGAAACACAAGCAGAAAAACCCTTTGACCCTCCTATGGTGGGCAGAAGCTGAAATTTGTCTTTATGTTTTATGGCTTTAGCTGGGTTGTTTAGAGTCTGCGCTCTATACATCTCCAGCATGATGCTGTTTGCACGGCCCTTCCCTGTTTAGAGAAACTCCCCCCCAGTTCTGTGGGTAGGCCAAACAAGTCGTGTCTACCAAACTTGGCTGTCATTATCTTCTCCTGATGTGGGCAATGAGCTCAGACTCTGGAAGCAGGAAGATCTGGGGCAAATTAGCCGCCCTTGACACTTTGGGTACATAATATGGATGACAAAATCTGCCCTGTTATATAAGAAGATTGAAGATGTGAGATGACTGGCCACCATTTTGGCCACAACATGGAATGCACTCTGCAGTGAGGGAGAGCCGGGCAGAGGCTGTGCAAGAATCTATTTGCTACAGGCAGTGGATGGATTTAAATTTATTTGGAACTAGAAGGCGGCCCTTGAGCCATGAGTGTTGTATTTTCTGGGGTGGAGGACATTTCTAATCCTGGGATGGGGATGGAATATAATGGTTAGGGGCAGTGTTTAGGGCCAATTTCACCACTTACCAATTGGTGATCTTGGGGTCTTGGCGAGTTTCTTTGTATCAATGATGACAGTAATGGCTCCCGCCTTAGAGGGCTGTTGTGAGGCATGCCTGACACCTGGCGTGTGGCCATCATTTGCTGGGGCTCTCTCAGCAGAGTTCCCCAGGTCTGCTTTGACACCCCAGGACTCTGAGCTTTCTTTAGGTCATGGGCATGTCCCTTCTCCTTGCTTCATGTCCTCAAACGAAGCCTGGCAATAGTGTCCCTAGCCAAATGATCCAGAAGGATGTTGGACAGGGCTGAGGACAAAGCCCAGGCCCATCCCTTCAAGGGAGGATCAGGTCCTTCGTCAGCTCCTACCAGTTACTCATCTGCTTCATCAGATGGTGCCTCAGCCCTGACTCCTTCACTGTGGCCTGGAGGACTGAGAATTTTCCAAATGCGTGGCTGGAATCTGCTCCCCTGATGCTCCACCTAGTCTGGTGACTGCCCCTCTCTTGTCCAGTGGACTAAGTGGCTATCCAGTGGACTGACCAGGTGGCTTAGAGCGACACTGCTTTTTATTTTTATTTATTTATTTTATCAGCAATGTGAAAACAGACTGCTTTTTATTTTAACACAGGATAGGAGTTTGGCCCATGAATTTGTTCATGAAAAGCCGAGATTTATGAACTAACACAGACCCACAAAAGACGGAAAGAATGGTAGCTTCACAGTGTAGTAAACGTTTCCCTCCAAACAAGCAGCAAGGCTTTGAAGTACACTGAAGTAAAAGAGGGCACAGGTAGTGTTGATCATGGAAAAGGAAGTATGGAGAAACACGTCACCATTGGTTTGTTCGCAGCATCTGGGTAGAGGTTGATCCTCTTGGCCTTAAGATGCCAAAATGAGGAACTACATGGGCAGGGTCACCTGCCATCTCCCTCTGTGCATGGAGCTTTGCGCCAGGCCTTTCAGTGCACAGAAGAAAATATAAAGACACAGGGCAGGGGCTCGAGTGCCAGCTCCCCCTCTACCCCTCGGCAGCGGGGAGAGAACCAGTATTTCCAGGGCTGAAGTTCTACGGGGATCTGTGTTATGTGAACAATGACAGCGTACAGATCTAATGCTTTTAACCGAATTCCAAATCCCTGAGCATCGTGTGTGAAATACATGAGAACGCAGTAAACCAGAAGAGCGCCTCATATTCACTCAGTGCTTTCTGTGAGGTACCTTTGTCCCCATTGGGGCTCTGTCCCTCACCAGAGCTCATGGTGGCTGTGTGAGGGGCGAGCACCACAGAGCAGTCTTCCTCCTGCCTCTCACTGTGGAGGTTGTCTCGCAAGGCTTTATATAAGTGAAGCTCTGTTTTTTTTGCTTTAGCTGGTCTACTATCTGGATCAACTCTTCTTCCCAATTTCTTCTATATCTGTTTTGGCAATTAATTGTTCAGGTGAAGAGGTGTGAAGTCATGGCAGAGTCCCTGCCCCTGCATCCAATCCGGTGGCAAGTTCTGTTCTTCGCATCACCCTAGTCCAGGCCATGACATCTCACAGCGACTGCCCTGGACATTCAGAAGCTGCATTCACAGGGGAGGGCCACGGGAATGTCCAGCAGGCACAAGGGAAGGAGGAAAGGTGGGACCGGGGCTCCTGGCCAGCTGGTGGTCTTGGGGAGGGCGGCACTGCCTTCCACCCCCCGGCAAGCCAGAACACCAAGGCTCGTCTGTATGTACGTTGCTTTGCCGTCTTAGTTCCCCCCTGCACTAGCAAGCCCTCGGCCTTTTTCTGAAATGTGTTACTGTCTACCTGGGGATAAAAAAACCCCATCAAGGCATGACAGCGACCAAAAGTGTGAGGAATTCAATCTCCAATGGCAGAGGCTCAAATACAAAAGTTAGAAGCTCATGTGCTGGCTATACCCCCTCAGCTCTAGGTGAGCAGATTGAAATGTGGCATGAGAAGGCTGACAGGTGGAGCGAGGCAGAGCAACTGGTTTCGGGATCCCAGGGCTGGATGGTTGACAGTGACTGTGGTGTTGCCCCACGCCCTCTCTGTCTCGTGGACGCCCACTTCCTGTCCTCCATTCCTCCCTCTGTCCCGGGGATGCCCACCTTCTGTCTTCCATTCTTCCCTCTCTGTCCCGTGGATGCCTACTTCCTGTCCTCCATTCCTCCATCTCTGTCCCATGGAAGCCCACTTCCTGTCCTCCATTCCTTACAAGCACAGGCCTGCCGCTCACTGCTTGACAGACTTCCTAACTCCCAGTCTCTCAAGTCTTTCCTCTGCCTACCTGGTTCCCGTTCCTCTGTTGTCTCTGGATCTGGTGAGAATCTCAGGACCCCACGGGGGCTGGAGACAGCTCGTCGACTCAGCTGTTTTGGGACCTTTGGGGCCTCTGTTTGCCTGCAGACAGGTGGCATGCTTGACAGGTTCTAAACAGGGAAAAGATTTCTTGGAACTTAAGAGAAAAACTGACTAGGCAGACTCCAAATGAAAAGAACCATAAGCAAAGTGGAGTCTGTGCATGGAGTCTAGGAACTCGGGGGTCTAGGAGCTTTACTGCACACTCAAGGGCTTGCTTACTTAGGGCTCCTAAGTAAGCGCTGCAGACTCTTCATCGCTTCCCTGCAGGACGTTTACATCAAGTACCTGCTAACCGCTGGCTCTGTGCAGTGAGACTTCCGAGAACTGTAGTGATGAAAGATCATTGTGTTTGGGGCTGTTGACTTTCGTGTTGTCAGTCATCTGGTTAAATGCAGGCCCGTGTCCACCAGGAGCAGTGGGCTTCTCCTGTGCCAACTGGCTTTTCAACTTTCTCTTCATTGGTACATCCAGTCCTGTGATACAGGATCCCCAGCCCAAGGCTTTGCTGTTTACAGCAAGGCCCAGAGTTACACACAGAAGGCTACGGATTCTGCTCTTGAATGCACCGTGGCATCCCTGTGTAACCTTGTGTGGGGACAGCCGCTATGCCTCCTCCTCACAAGCCAAGCATGCCAAGGCAGCCTCTGCAGACTGCAGGGGTAGGGGGTCAGGATGTCTGGTTTTGTTCACTGGGGGGCCCAGTGCCTCAAGCTTCTCTGAAACATCACTGCCTGCCTCGACTGGACCGGAAAGAACTCTGGACTCCAAGGGAAAGGCTGAGGAGGAAACAGATGATGGCTGAAGCAAAGCAAGGTGCAGGAAAAGTTTTGCGATGAGAGAGGCTCTGCGCATCAGACAGCTGGAATCTGAACCTGCAGAAATTTAGACAGAAAGCACCCTACACATTGTACAAGAATAGGAATTACTTCTAGATGAAAGTCTTACCTGATCTATCCCTTCCAGAAAGCAGCAGCAGCTTGAATTGGATGACTCAATCTGCAGTGCTTCAGCTGACACGAGTTAGCAGCCACTGTTCTTGAAATGATTTCACTGTTGGAAACTGCCGAAGAAATGGGATTTGGCGAAGTGGGGGAGGCTGTCCCAGCCACTGTGGGCTGGAAGACCAGAAGGAGACTGAGACTGTCCTGCCGAGCCTGTACGGCTGCTGTGCCTCTGTGGAGAAGGGGGTTGCACAAATGATGTCCGTGAGGCACGTGTTCCATGTATAGACAAGACTGCTGCATTCCCAGGCTCTGACGTAAATGCTAGGCTTTACAAAACAGAAATGTACACGCAACATGGGATCTGGTGAGCAGTCACGTGAGAGCTGCTCGGCAGACACAGCAGATTCTATTTTTAACACTTTATTGGCAAAACGGAACTCCCTTCCCCTCCCCCTTTACAGAGAACTAGCGCTTTTGTTTTTCTTGTGGGTGACCTAACTTACCTGTTTACCCAAGGCCCGTGAGCCTGCTACAAAAGTAACTCAGGCAGTAGCTTAGCCCCAGGCTGCCTTGGTTTGAACCGCTCCTATGCCAGGAGCTGTCACTGTCACATTCGGAAAGGGTATGTGTGGTAATGACAGTAATGGAACATAGTAGGCTTTGGATAAACTTTGCTGTCACATCTTCATTAGCTCAAACTAGAAAAATAGAGTTATTACTATGAATAAGTGGGAGTTCTCTTAACACACAGTCTCTGTGGGGAAAAAGGACCTCAATTGCTGAGGAAGGAGTCTGTGCTGAACATCATGAACATGTCATGCCTAATGCGAGAGATTTCCTAGGAAACCCCTAAACCATGGTATTTGAGAAAACAGAAATAAGAGGCGGACATAAACATATGAGGCAGCGGGGAGCCAAGGGGAACTGGAAGAAGTCTGACGTGTACGGCCCACCCACTCAACCCTCCATCAAAAGGGCATGCCTTCCAGAACTGGGAGGGACTCTAGCGTGTCTACCATGGTGAATTCAAGACAAGCAGAGTATTTGCTGTTTCTCTGCATTTGAAGGGCTTTGAAGACTAGCAACTGGAATCCAAGGTGCATTCAGAGTCTGGGTATTTCCCCCCACAAAGCCTGCACAGAGTGAGTGTGACAAAATGATGATGTTCCTTCTGTTTGGAATTTAATTTTCTTATGAAAACAAAGACAGTTAGAAAAAATGACCAATTGCCAGGATAACATTTTTTTTTTTTTTCTTAAGACGAAGTCTCGCCCTGTTGCCCAGGCTGGAATGCAATGGTGCAATCTCAGCTCACTGCCCCTTGCTCCTTCCGAGTTCAAGCAATTCTCCTGCCTCAGCCTCCTGTAGCTGGGATTACAGGTGCCCACCACCACACCCAGCTAATTTTTGTAACTGGTAGAGACAGGGTTTTACCATGGCCAGGCTGGTTTCGAACTTCTGACCTCAGGTGACTGGCCTGCGCCTTGGCCTCCCAAAGTGCTGGGATTACAGGCGTTAGGAATAACGTTATTTCTACCCATCACTGGCACGTGCCCTTAATCCAAGCCATTCTGGAGCCCCTCCCTACCCCCGGGTCTGTTTAGCCATTTGTATCCTTGAGGGCTGAGAAGGAAGGAGAGAGAGTCCACGAGTGGATTTTTAAGTCTTCACCAAATGCAGAGGCAGTTTTGAGTTCTGTGGACAGCAGAAGCTTCAGTTCTTTGAGTATCTATGACTGGGCCAGAGCTGCAGGTGACCAGGTCTGGGGCCAGATAGGGTCTTCCCATTAGTCTTCCAGAACAGGAAGGAGATGGCTGGGAGCTGTTTGGTACCAAAGACCAAAGTGAAGATGATGTGACAAGGGCTACAAAGGAGTCATTTATTAAAAACAAAACCCCAAAAATGCCTCAGCAGGACTTGAAGACAACAGAGGAATCCAACACCCTGTTTGCTTCAGACTGTTAATGCCACATTGGGTGACCCCTGTGAGCTCAATCCACAGTGACTTCAACAACACAGCATACCAGTTCATTACATAGGTCAAGAGGGAGGCAGCCACTGAGGCAGGGAGCTTCTCCCGCCTTTGTGGTCAGGCATCCTCATGCCAACTGCAGGCTCTCTGCCTCTGAACAATGGGCACCTGCTTACCAGGCAGGGCTGCTCAGGTAAAGGCCAGCAGCCATGACGCTAGTTCCTACCAGAACTCTGGGCTCACAGCAGACCACAGCACAGGTCCGGTCCTCAGGACAGAGCAGCTTGTTCTTTCCCCAGTTCCTGGAATTTAGGGCCCATCTCACAGGGGAATTTGACATTTGTCCCCACACCCGGTTGTCACCACAGGTAAACCAAGACTATAATCACAACAGCAAGGACAGGATTGTGTTGCTTTTTTCCTTTTTTTTTTCTTAAAGGAGTGAGGGCATGGAAAATATACAGCACACCAATGAAACAAAATGTCAAAAAAAATACAAAAAAATAGAAAATAGAAAAATGTATTTACAAGTAGTACATTATGATGAGAAAGCACAAAGACACCTGCTGCTATAATACATGCATTGGCTCGAGAAGAAACTACGAAACACCCTGCGAGGGAGAAGCCTAGGAACAGAAAAAAAGGACCAAAAGGTTTGAACTCTTCATCCCTAATTTGCTACACTGATCAAAACCAAGTAAGGGCTCCTAAAGTCCATGAGTCTATCGGCACAAATGCTATACTGGTTTGTAACTGTGGGGTCAGTCGTGAAGGGAGGGACAGCAGCTGATCCATATACAAGGAAGCCACAGTAAACTGCTCGACATGCTCAAAACCACAGCAAGCCCCTGTCAGCTACACAGCGTGATCGTAGCAGGATTTAATTCTCGTTTATTCATATATATCTATGTGTGTGTTGATATATATATATGTACGTATGTATAAAAACCGTGCCCTTGTTCACTGCCAACACAACGTCTGGGTGGACATGAACTCATTACAACAAATTCTTATGTGGATGTTGTAAGAAGTCACTCAATGTCTGTGGATTTAATAAGTCACTTCACACCACAGAAAATATTTAATAAATCCAAAAAAAGGAAAGAAGAATATAATGACAGAAGAGCTTCTGTCTCGGTTCTCTGAAACTGAGTCCCCCACAGGAAACTGGTCCCAAAGTTCTCGAGGGTTCACTGAAGAAACGTCGGTTTGCTAATTTTTTTCATCCTTTTAGTGTTCAAAAGTTCTAAAAAGACTCCTCGCTGTTTTTAGTTTTTAAACAGTCAAATCTCCATCTCCCCCACAAGGTAACAGTCTGGTGCAGATCCTAAAAACGAGGGAGGAAGGAGCGCTGGGGAGAGGCCTGTCCCTCTGGAAGGGGCCCCACCTCTGCATCCGCAGGAAGAGAAGGAGCCAAACAGTGCTCCAGCACCCCTCTCCTGCAAACAAGCTCCCTTTAAATGCCAAATCCAGTCACACGGCAGTTCCTTAAACAGGTACGTTTCTGAGTACCAGGCCAGCTCTTAGAGGAAACAAAACCACAAGTTGAGAGAAAAGGACTATGATGGCCAACTGGTCACTTTCTACATGATCCATCATACTTCCAGGAATCGGGAGCTGCTGGACTTGGAGTGGAATGGCTCAGACCACATCCGCCGGAGGTCGCCCTGGGAAACAAGGGACTTTCTCAGTTACGGATTTAAACACGAGGCACACACGGCTAGGATTCTTTTTAAAAACATTTTTTTTTTTTTTTTTTCCAGATACAGTACAAGGTCTTCCTATGTTGGCCAGGCTGGTCTCAAAACTCCTGGGCTCAAGCACTTCTCCTGCCTTGACCTCCCAAAGTGCTAGGATTACAGGCGTGAGCCACTGAGCTTGGCCCTTTTCTGGTTCTTTTTTTGAGATAGGGTCTCACTCTGTCACCTAGGCTGGAGTACAGTGGTAAGATCTCAGCTCACTGCATCCTTGGACTCCTGAGTTCAAGTGATTCTCCTGCCTCAGCTTTCTGAGTAGCTGGGATGACAGGCACTCACCAAGCCCAGCTCATTTCTGTATTTTTAGTAGAGACGGGGTTTCACCATGTTAGCCAGGCTGGTTTTGAACTCGAGACCCGCCTGCCTCAGCCTCGCAAAGTGCTGGGGTTACAGGCGTGAGCCAGTATGTGCGCCCTGCCCCCTTTCTGATGCTTGATCTGAGATCAGATTGCTTCTGTGGGAAATCAAAGAGCATTTAAATCTTACCCACTGAAAAGTAAGCCACCATTTTTAGGACTCCCTAGTATGGATGCTTTCAGGCTCCTTGAGCAAGGAAGGGGGGTTTTATCAACTCTCTAGAGGCAGTGAGTCAGGTGATCTGGGCAAGTATCTGCTTCCTCATCTGTAAAACGGGGCTGAGAATAGACACCTGGGAATAATGGGCTCTCTGACTCTGGTTTTATTATACGCTGTCCCAACACTACTCACTCTTAATTATTCCCCAACTTTAACATAGTGTTAAGCTGTTAGGTGGCAGGACGGCACTGCTCTTAACAGAAGCAGGAAGTTCCCACAGCTGGGTTTGGGGCTTTTAGTTAATTAACCCTTGACCAGGTGGTGTAGTGGCCTAGCTCATTAGCGTTTTCTGTCAGTGGCTGCGTGAATCTGTAAGCGTCTGCCAGCGTCAAGGTAGCACACACACTAGCCAAGATCAAAAGCTCACTTGGGCGTAAGCAGAGCCACTTCAGCCAGGAGAGCACAAACCCAGGCGGCAAGGCCAATCCAAGGCACTGCTTTCACAGGCTTAAACCGCTACTCTTACCTTTAAGTAGGCCATCGTGAGGAGTGGCAATAAGGTAAATGGCACCAAATAGAGAAGGGCGGGCTGGGCGGCTCGGTGAATGCGAGACGCCACAGTAGCAGTGAGCAGGCCTGTGAGGAGAGAGGGGCATCCGTGAGACAGGAGAGAGAACCCGTGTCACCTGGCTGATGTTTGGCAAAGTCCTGCGACTGTACAGACCCAATGTGCTGTAGTCCATTCTCTGGCTGGGTTTGAAATGCCCAGCTTAGGCAGTTGAAGAAATGTGGATCAGCACGGCTTTAAGGAACACCTCCAACTCCAGGGACCCATGATTGACCCAAGTCTCACTCCTTGCTCAGGTTCCTGGGTTCAAACCCCACCTCCGCCCCTCTGGAGGGCCGGACAGTGTGCCTCTGTCTCCTGTGATGCTGCACCTTGGGAGGCAGAAAACCTGGGTTCAAGTTCCACAATGGCTAACATAAGCACGGTTCAGGACTTCCACCTCTGCGGGCCTCAGCCTGCTCATCTGTCTAACAGGGACACCACTACTGGCCTTGCCCCTCTGAGTTTGTGGACTGAAATGAACCCATATGTATGAAGTGCTGTGCGACGCGGACTGTGCTGGGGTTGAGCAGGCGGCAGCAAGTGCAAGAGGTGTTCCTTTCCACTCACTCTGCAGGAACGACTGCACGTGCAGGCAGGTGACCGTTTCCCAGACCAATTACAACTGTCTCCTCCTGTCTGCCTAGACGTGAGCTGGCTAGAAAGCTTAGTCTAGGTCAGAGTGCCAGAAACGTAGAACTAATGGATGTAATACCTGTTGAATCAAGTAGGAAATAAATACAACAGTTATTACACTCAAGGGGAAGATTTAAGCACAGACTCATCCACTGTACTGTGTGCTGTGTGTCCTTGGCTGTGAGGACTGACCATGCTTTTCCTACAAGGTTCTTCAGACACACTGTTGGAGAGGCAACTGGCCTATCCAGTACACAGAACATTTATCTCACGGGCCACGTTGTCTATTACAGCACCCAGGATTCCTGCTCTCCTTCCATCCAGTATCTGCAGCTAGAAGACCTGACTGAATCCCAAGGGTTGAAGGACAGCCAGAGAGAGGTTCATCTGCAGTCTCTCTGGTTCCCTTACCTACGAAGTATCCGACGAGGGTGCAGTGAAAGTAGGAGACCTTCTGCATGCGCCCAGAGATGTTGGCAGGCCCAGGGGCACCACAGGAGTCCCCACTGGCTTGTTTTTTGTAGTTGTCATAACGAAGGACAAAACAGAGCAGGAGACCAGGCATCACAATGTCTCCGATGCCCAACATGGAGAAGTGGCTGCCGGTGGAGCTGGAATGCAGTTTCACAGGTTAGCGATGTCACACTCTGCAACACTTTCTGTTCCTTTTGTGCAAAGTCTGAGCTTTTTAAAGGAGTCAAAGAGCTTATCTGCATGGTAGACGGAAATCTCTTCTGATTGAACACAGTTTTGAAGAGTTTAGAGATAAAAAGCTGTGACAGTATTGGCACTAGAGGTCTCCACCGGGCCCCGGTGTTTCAGGAGA